TCAGTGATTCAGGGAAGCACAGGGAACTCAGGGTGAGCCTGCCTCCATGCTTGACTCACCCACTCGATAGTGTTCACAGTACAGACTGTGGTGGCCCAGCCCATGCACGTGCAGCAGCTGCTGAAGCTCAAGCAGCAAGCCATGCAGCAGCAGAAGGCCATCCAGCCACAAGCTCACAGTCGGACATTCCCCGAGGGCTCCCGGACTGTGAAAGGGCGCAGGCCGAGCTGAGGGGTCTCCCTCCCATTGCACAAAGTTCATGCACCAGGCCTCTAATTTTTTAAAAAAAATAATAGTGCAAACAAATACACTTTTCTTTCTTCAACATATTTTACAACAACCTGATGTCTGAGTAACTGCATAGGCTTCTCCAGTTACTTAACCCATGTAAGTGGCCCATTCCCTGAAAAAACATTTTAAAAAGTCAAAAGCATGTAGTTTGTTTTCTTATTTAAAGTACTTATTACAGAGAATATTTAGGGGATTCTTGTAGTAAAAAATGTAAATGAAAAATGTTAAACTTGATGAAATTGGAGATAATCATGTTTTCCTTTTATTCTTACTTCTTAACTAGATATCAAAGTTCCAAAAATCACTTGCTAACTATAGCATACAGTTAACTATTGTTTTTCTTAAGGAAAAAGTTTTTAGATTGTGCTTTATTTTTGAAAATAAAAAACATTAACTATATACTGATTGAATTCATAAAAATTGGAACCCAAAACATTCATTTGAAAATCTATCAGTCATGAATAAATTCTACAGATTTGATAGAGGAAATGAAACCCCAGTTATCCCAGTGGAAAAAAACCTTGTGATAATTAGGACCAGATCATTGAGGCTTGAGATAATTAGGGTGGAACTGGCAATACATGAGACCGTGCCTGAACTTTTCAAGTCCCTTGGTGGCAGAGCACAGCTTGGCCCGCTGCTGGCCGGAAAGCAGGAGGTCAGAATCAGCCAGCTGGATCCGTAGCCAGCAGTACTGAGTGGTCTTCCATTTCCCCAAGCACAAAGGACAAGAGGTTAGGAATCCTTATCTCTTCAACTGAAATCTATGTGAGAATTTCCCCAGTGGACTCTGCCTTCCTCTAGAGATGTTAAACCTTAGGGCAGGCAGATGGTGATTCTGTTAAATAGCTTGCATTGGGGAATAGATTTTTTTTTTGAAAAAAAAACCAAACTGAAATCTTGGAGACATAGAATAGAACATGGTCTAGATACCCATTATTATAAGTTATGTGTAACTTAGATATGTTTTGTGTGAAAACATTTAAAAAATAAAACCATAAATTATACAGTCCTGTTGAAAATAATTTAGAATCACTCTTCTTGAGGATTATGGTAATTGAGTAGAAGCAACTAAACTAGCAGCTTGCATTGAAATAGATTTCTTTCAGATAGGTATCCTGAGATGGTCAGAGAAAAGTCATAGCATATCATTTGATAATTAAAACATTTAAATGCATCACCAAAATAGTAGCAAAGATTTCTTACCATCTATGTGAGTGTGAAAGTGTTGGTTTGGTGAGAGGGATTTGTTAAACTGTAAAATGACGTTGTATTTGCAACCAAGGCCACGGCTGATCACTGGGACTCTAGAATATGGGTGGCCCTTCAGAAACATTCTGCTGTGAGGCAAATGTACTGAGCCTCTACGACTTCTTATTCTCAGTCACTGGATATAAGCTACTGCCTAGAATCAGGCAAGAGGTTGGGCAAGCAGCTCTCTTGGGCTAAGGCAGTGGTCGGCAAACTGCGGCTCGCGAGCCACATGCGGCTCTTTGGCCCCTTGAGTGTGGCTCTTCGCACGTGGTATTTTGTGGAAGAGCCACACTCAAGGGGCCAAAGAGCCGCATGTGGCTCGTGAGCCGCAGTTTGCCAACTCCTGGGCTAAGGGAATCTCCTAGGAGGATTTCATCTTTGAGCTATCAGCTACCAATATTACCAAAAGGCAGTTCCAGTAAATTATCATTATACAAACCCAGAATCTACCTTACCAACTTTAATATAATCTAAAATGCAAAAAAAAAGATTAAGTATCATTTACTTTTTTAAGGCATGGATCATAAAAAAGTTTGAGGCAACCTTCAGATATATCCCAACTTAAAAAAAAAAATTAGTTTGATCTATTTTTTTAATGAGAGCTTTTTCAGTGTAATGGGTAAGGACAAAATTATTGCCCATTTTCTTTGTACATTTTCTTAAATACTTAAAGTCTATTTTCTATTATCTTAGAAGAATATAAAATTGTAGCTACTCATTGTTCATAATCTACAGATATGTTGACTTTCTAACAACTCTAAAATCTCTCGAGTTCATGAAGTATAAAGGTAACAGAGTGGGGTCTTGAAAATTAGGTAAGAAAATTTCATGAGCAATTTAAGTGTATGGGTAATACATCCACAATGTAATTTCTGATATGAGTAATAAAATGAGACATATTCAAGAGATTTTTGTTGTTGTTGTTCAAATAGACAGAAAGGAGAAAAAGGAAAAGTGAAACGCTGCGTTTGAAATTTCTGCCAGGGATTCCTGGGTACGCTGTGATTTTTCTAACTGAAACGTGTTGTGGGGGAAAGGAAAGGATTTGGACATTTGAGGTGAAAGAAGGTAAGAACCTCTTTCAAATACAAGCCAAAGACTACATAGCGAAAAGGAAGGCAGGCTTAGTAATACATGTTGAAGTGTGATAATGGAATCCATGAGAGCAAATGCACAACAGGAGGAAGACAAGATTGTACTCCAGAGGCTCCGTGGACATGTCAAGGCTGGTAAAGGAAAAACAAACAACAGCAAAACCACACAAAAAAAATGGCCCTATCCGGTTTGGCTCAGTGGATAGAGCATCAGCCGGCAGACTAAAGAATCCTGGGTTCAATTCTGGTCAAGGGTACTTACCTTGGTGGCAGCCTCCTCCTCGGCCTGGGCCCCTGGTCGGGGGTTGTGCAGGAGACAACCAATCAATGTATTTCTCTCAAATAGATGTTTCTCTCTGTCTTTCCCCCTCTCTTCCATTCTTCCTAAAAATCAATGAAAAAATATCCCTAGGTGAGGATTAACAACAACAAAAAGGAAACAGAGAAAAATGAACACACAAAGCAACAAGAAAGAAAAGTGAACCCAAATGTGGTCAAAGATGTATTAAATTAGAAAAAAATAGGTTGTGAAAATCCAGAAAATATAGAGTTTATCAAAAATATCAAATAATATAGTGAAGTCAAGTGAAAGGCCTTTAAGTGTTTAGATCGTAAAGGAAGTCATTCTGAATAAGCAACTTCATTCTCAAAGGGGGGACTGACTGATGAAAGAGGCTAAAAAAGAAATACGTCCTATGAGGCAGGCAGAATTTAAAAAGTGCCCTCCCCCAAAGTTTTCAGCATAGGCCCTGGGAACATTAATATAATGAATAGCATGCTCATGAATATGTTACTTTACATCACCTCGGGGATGTGGCAAATGTAATTAAGTGTATAATCAGTTGACCTTCTAACTGGAGTAATTACCCTGGCCTAATGTAATCACATGAGCTTTTTAACAGCCCAGCATTTTCTTCAGCCAGTAGCAGAAGGGAAAATGAGAGACACCTGAAGTGTGAGACTAAACACACAGTTGCTGGCTTTGAGAACTAAATGGGCGATGGGAGAAGGTTTTGTTAGCAGAGATCAGTGCCTGGCCCACAAGCAAGGACAGTGGAACCTCAGACCTACAGCTGCACAGGATGGGACTCTGCCATTCACCTGTATGAGCTGGGAAATGAACTCTATTTCAGAACTTCCTGATAAAAGTTTAGCCTGGTCAGCACCTTGATTTTGGCTTGGAGATGCTTTGAGCATAGAATCCAGGTGAATATTTGGATTTACAGAACTATGAGCTAATAAGTGGGTGCTGTTTGAATCCACCAAATGTGTGGTAACTTCTTGTGCAGCAATAAAATAAAAATAAAAACTAATACACCCTGCTTAAAGAACAAACTTATCCCAGCCAACACATACACAATTTTTCTATAAGTGAATGTTACTGGTGACTCTCAGCATGAAAAATGAACGTGTTCCTGATGAGACCCATGATCATTAAGGTCAGCACAAGTGTAATTGAGGGATGGGATATATCTCTCACATTCCAAACTGATGCTTTGAATGAGCATTTTTTATTTAGGAATGCTTATGCACATTTTCCATTCAAAGTCTAAATTCTCATTCACTTCTCAAATTCAAGATCCATATAATTCCTCCCTTCTGGAAGTTAATCTGCATTTACTTCTGACCTCATTATTTCCCATTATATGTTATACTACTTTGTTTAGGTAGAATTCTGAATGTGATTCAAAGTATTAACTATGTGCAGTTGAAGTTAGTATTTGGTATCCTCATTGTCTGTCAGTTTGCTTATATTAAATGAGGATGATGCAAAGGATTGTTGAACCAAGGAAATGAGTGCTTGTGTCTGAGATCACTTAACTTAGCATTTGACACTTGAAGTATGTAATAATTAATTGTGGAATCTGAATCTTGCAAAAAACAAAGCTGTTGATTTAGTGATTATTCCACAGCATTTTGTAAGAATTTTTTTATAAATGCAAGTTCAAGGATTCTTCTGTTGAGTTTTAGAGAGAGAGAAAGGGAGGGGGAGAGACAAAGAGAGAGAAACATCTATGTGAGAGAGACATATAGATTGGTTGCCTCCTGCACATGCCTGACCAGGGCCAGGGATCAAGCCTGCAACCGAGGTATGCACCCTTCACTGGAATCAAACCCAGGACCCTTCAGTCCACAGGCCAACGCTCTATCCACTGAGCCAAACCTGCTAGGGCCAGTGTAATCAGTTTTTATATTATAATCGTTGCCTTTTTCTTTGAATCTGTAATCAAATACGTTTTACATTACTCATCTATTCATATCTAGAAACTGCCTTCTTTTCTCAGGTGTCAAAATGCAAAATACATTTAAATTTCATCATACTCCCAATAGATAGGAAAGCATAGGTATAGATAAAAGCACGATTTCATGCTTCTGATATCTGACTAGTGAAATGGCAAGAGGACAAATAAGAAAGGGTTCCATCTCCCTGAAACTAATGGAAGAATCACTTGACCCTATAAAAAGGCTTGATGTAATCATAAGTAGGTACAACTCTTATTGCACTTATGTTAGAGCACCGATATAAAGCAAAAGATTAATCCCATTTTCTATTTCAAGTTCCCTAATACACTGGCTATAAAACTCCCATACTTCATGATAGATAGGTGTTCTAAGTTGAAAACATTGACTTGGCGGTGGTTCACTAAGCGCTGACTCACTGAGATATAGAATATTACAGTAGGTTCAAGTCCAGTTCTTTAGAACTCAGTGAAACTTCACAATTTAGTAAAAGTATAAAAGTACTTTAATACCTCAGAAATTAAATTACCTAAATATGATCATGCCAATTTGTCTCAAAATTAAACAATTTTATTTTATCTACCGTATCATTACTGCCTTTTAATGCATAATTTTGATGTCATATGATACAACAATAGAGCAAAACTGTGCTCTGTTTTAAGATTTTAAAGACCATCAAAATTCTCATTTTTTTAGAACAAGATGAATGACTTTAGCAGCATCCTTCTTTCCTCCTTAAAAGAGTGGAGTCGTGTTATTGCTCTTCATTTTAAATGATAGGCACTTTAGTGGAATATAGCACCATTTTGAGAAAGCTGCTGTCATTTTACTCTGCATGTTTGGGATGCATAAATGCTAACTTTAATGATGCAGCATTTCCTTTGTAAAATTATATTTTATGGTGGATGAACTGGCCATTAATTTCACTGTAAAGACCTAATTTGTACATTTTAATGTATTGCTCAACTAATCTGTTTGTGTGAGGATAACAGCTGGAAGCTCCTGCAAGAAGACAGGAGAGTAAAAAGCCGACCTTAGTTCATAATTTCTTTGAATTCTCTTCCCTGTCCCATAAAATCCAGCTTTAAAGTTTTATTTCTTTGTTATGCCAGGATTGTGGTTATTTTGTACACGAATACATCCATGGCATGGCATGTGTTACATTGGTGCCGCAATTACACCAGATTGCACAATAGTTTGCTAATGCTCTATTATCTTTCTGTGCAAATTGCTAAAGTGAAGAACCCGGAATTCAGTCATGTTAGCCATACATCTCCAATTTAATTTACTCTCTTTAAAATTCTGCTCATCTACATTTTTACTACAAATATTCCCCATTTTCTTTTATTACTCTATCTCAGTGTCAATTGAATATTCCTGAGCACACTGGGTATTTTTTTTTTTCCACCAAGACAAAGGCTTGAAAATACTCTAGAGTTTTCTGAAAATTCTACAACTAGTATTTAAATAACATTTTTATATATTGGAACAAAATTTTAAGATAGCATATGCATAAACAGATATTTAATAGAAACAAATTAACTAAATGCAATATCTTCCAGAGAAAGTATATTCTGCATAAAAGAAATTGAATTGCAAGGTTCAAGAAATTCACTGTAAGAATACTTTTATTCCTGTTTCTCAGACCTAAGGATGTCTAAAAGTAAATTGATGTTGCTTAGAAGTGTCACAACCTTGCATAAAACAGAATTCCATTTAAATTATAAAGTCCAAACAGAAATTGGTTCTACCACCAAAAGAAAGTGTGGAACACAGCATTCATCACCACAGCAAAGGGTGTATTTATCCAGCAATCATGTCAGACATGGCAGATGGTACACAGATCCAGAATACACAGATAGAGGAGGGGAAACACATTGTGCCTTTCATAGGGAACGCATAGAAGTGGAAGTCTAGAATATAAGGAAAAAATGTGGAATGGATATACATAAACACTTCTTTCTTTTAATTATGCTATCACTAAATCGTCACTAATTTCTTACCAGATCTTTTATAAAATGTAGTTGATTGCAAGAACCCATTCATTATTCATATATTTTATATGTATACTAGTGGCCCGGTGCACGGATTCATGCACATTAAAAGAAAATTACTTGGAAGAAATATTTTAATATTGCTGTTTGCTCTTTCTCTATCATAGAAGTGTCAATCAAAATCATGATCAATAATGACAGATCGAAACACATGCATAGTATTGGCACCAGCGAGAGCTTTATATGTATCACGCATGCATGAGTCAACTTAGCCTTTTATATACATACTAGAGGC